AGAGCCTGTTGGGCCGTCTTGGGGCCCTTTAGAGGGCCGCTTATGACGTTTTGTGCCGTTTTGGGCCGTCTGATGCCATCGTGGCTGTCTTGGAAGCCGTTTTGGAGGCCATCCTGGACGTCTGAAGGCCAGAGAGCGAATTCAGGGGGGGCGGTTTTCGGACGACGCGCGCGACGAGGGTGGGGGGGCGGCCCTCAAAAACATGTGAAAAACCTGTCAGACCACAGACGAGCATTCTAACACGTCCAGTCCGTGCAGGCACGGTGGCGGAATGAGATTAATATGGAGCAGTGATCAGGCCCTCCCCGAAAGGGACGGAAGGGGGTTGAAAGAGGGAGCGCGTTGCACCACCTTTCGCTGGCCGTTTCGGTTCGGTTCCGGAACCATCTTGGTCATGCGGCGATTCCAGTTCGGGATAGTGCATGCGTTCGCGCCCATTATGGGCCGTATTTGGGGCTTCTCATGGGGCGCGGACTTATCGGGGACTTTTGGGGCGATGCTGAGATCTGGCAGTGGCCTCCTGGGGCTCTGTTGGGTGCTCTTGTAGCCATCGGGGTGCTCGCTGGGGCTACGTCGTCGTTTTTTCCCTACCTAGGCGCTGCCTAGAAGGGTTCTTACCCTCTATGCTTAAAGGGCCGGGCAGTGGTCCTCGCCCTGGGCGGTTCCCCCGGCATCCGCCCCGTGGTTCCCCCAGTTATGTCCCCTTAGCTTAGCGTTGCTTATCCCATCTGAACTTAATGTATTTCATCTTAGCTTAGCTTAGCTTCATCTTAGCTCAGGTTTATCTTAGCTTAGCTTACCATCATCTTAGCATCGCCGAGCTTTAGCATAGCAGAGCACAGCATAGCATAGCATAGCGTAGCACAGCATAGCGCCGCACAGCATATCATAGCAACACCCATCATATCATAGCATAGCGCATCATAGCATAGCATAGCATATCATAGCATAGCACAGCATGACACATACTAGCTTAGCATAACATAGCATAGCATATCATAGCGCAGCTTATCATATCATATCATAGCCTAGCATAGCACAGCGCAGCATGCCATATCATATCTTAGCATATCATATCATATCATATCATAGCATAGCGCATCATATCATAGCATAACATATCATAACATGGCGCAACATAACATGGCATATCATGGCATATCATGACATAGTATAGCATAGCATAGCACAGCAGCTAATGCTGCTTTCCTAGGGGCTCCAACTTCTAGGTAGGGTCGCACTGGGGTAATTTTGTTGTGTAGAAACATGTTTTTGGCTTGGAGGGGGGTATGAGTCCTCTTTTCGAATGTAGTGGCTCTGTGGCCCCCGTGTCTCTTCAACTTCTCCCTTGTGTCTGCCGCCTCTGAGCTGTCTGATCAGGGGCGGAGTGCTTTGCTCCAGAGCTACCCGTCCCTCCCCGAAGGAGTTCTGGTGGAACATGGCTGCCATGGACCAGCAGTGCTACGCAGAGGAGAGTCTGACTGCTGCTGCCGCTGCTGCTTCTACTGGTGCTGCTGCCGCATCTCCTCGCGCCGCTGCTCCTCTTCCTCCTCATCCCTTCCATCCTCCTGTGCTTCACTCGGAATTCGTCCCTCCCCGCAGCAGCTTTGGCCCAAGCTGATCCACAGGCGTGGCAGAGCGTGTCGAACGGACTAGTCTTGTCAATCGACGGACGACCCAAAGTCCTCTGTCTGTGCCAATGCCAGACGATCGCTGACGCAGGTTTGGCTCGTGACGGCGCGTTGGTTGCGTTGCACACTGGTTTGTCCGTTGCTAATCGCATTGCCTCCGATCGATGGAGTGAGTTGTTGCGATGCTCCACATAAGCGTCTCGTCGGAGGGCATCTTTTCCTGCGTGTCGAGCATCATGTCCGTCTGGTTCCACCCTCTGCTTGTCTCGTGAGCGCTGTGCATGCCCGCCTCCTCATGGGGAGGATATGTGGGACTTCAGCGAGGGCTTCTTGGGGTACGAGCACTCCTCGTACTGGGGCTACCCGCAAAACATGGAGGCGCGAAGCCACAGCGAGAGAAAATGTGGGGGGTTCTGCCTGGAGGGTTTCTAGGAAGGGCTTAGGCGACCCGTCCTCCTCCTCCTCCTCCTCCTCCTCCTCCTCCTCCTTCTCCTCCTCCTCCTCCTCCTCCTCCTCCTCCTCCAATCTTCCTCCTCCATCTCCTCCCCCTCCTCCTCCTCCTCCTCCTCCGCCTCCTCCTCCTCCTCCTCCTCCTCCTCCTCGGGTCGCCTACTGCCCCGGGGGAAACCGTACAGTTCTGTTGGTCGAGGGCGTCCGGGTCCGAGAGCATGCCGCCCCCGCCCAGGGCCGCAGTTGACGGCGCGAGGCAGGACGGAGAAGGGTGGGCAGCATACGAGCCTCTCCTCCTCCTCCTCCTCCTCCTCCTCCTCCTCCTCCTCCTCCTCCTCCTCCTCCTCCTCCTCCTCCTCCTCCTCCTCCTCCTCCTCCTCCACCTCTCCACCTCTCCAGCTGACTCCTTCCTCCCTTAC